ACGCAGGTTAACGGAGGATTTACGCCAGGAGACACGTGGCATAACAACGGAGAGAGAAGGCGTAGCACTGGACGAGGAGCAGACAAGATCGGAGGTGAGAGAGAGAGATCGCTATGACGGAACAGGTGGTAAAACCATAATTTAAAATATATATATCGTCACAAACAGTATATATATATGTAATTGAGATCGCTATGACGGAACAGGTGGTAATACCATAATTAAAAAAAAAAAAATATATATATATATGTAATTATAATTAGAAAAAAAAAACAAAAAAAAAACAGAGAATCCAGAGCGCGCTGGTCTGGTTGTGTACACTATTACAGAAAGAGGTAGCTGCATGGGCCCTGTGTGACGATGACGGGCATAAATTGATAAATTCTCCATACTATTATAGGACCAAAAAAAAAAAAAAAAAAAGGGCAGACGTATGGGTGTGTTCTCGTCGTCCACATTCAACATACGCAATTGAGGACGATGTCAACAATAATTACACAACTCTTGAGACGTACACATGAGAAGGGAAGATGAAGATGAAAAAGAGTCGGGACTGAGATTGCGATGGAAGGGCAAACCCCGAAGGAGCTGAGCTGGCAGAGATCGGTAGGCCCGGAGGACGCAAGTAATGACAACGAGGGCGCAGGAGAAGCTACCATGGTGTTAAGGAGATAGCGTTTCAACATGGGAGCTGCAGAGATCGACATCTCAGGTTGTGCTTTATTTTTGTTTGTCGAGAAAAAAAATCTCTGGGAAATAAATCTGTGATATCGACAGTGACACCGTGCGAAGGGTGACCACAGCGATGATCGGACTTCAGGGGGGTGGAAAGGAACTGCCATGGGGTGGGGGTCAACGTTAACCTCGAGGGGGGAGAGATGGGAGGGGTGGTGCACATGCATGACGAGCGAGGGCGAGCGAAGAAGAGCATATACGTGGATTTTTTTTAACTTGTTTTTTTCGTGGTAGGCGAGAGTAGATGGATCGTAGACTGTCACAGAGGCAATGAAGGCGAAGGCGATGGGAGACCTGGGTCTGGTACTGCAACACGGACACGTGGAGTCGTGGTATCACAGCACGCACAAGAGTGGACGTGGATCGCGTGCCCACGTGCCTGCCTTTCAACCGCGGAAAGATATGCATCTAGCATTGCAAGTGGGAGCCATACCCCAGTGGGTACCACGTGGATGTGGTACCAACTGCACCCGGTACGCGTGGATGCATGTGGATGCCGTACCACGTGCCTCCGGTACCACGTTGCTCCGGTACCACGTGGATGTGGTTCCACGACCACGTTGCTCCGGTACCACGTGGGTGTGCTACCATGTCTGTATGCCCACGTAGTACCACGTGGCTCTGGCACCAGTGGATACCACGTGGCTCCTGTACCACGTGAATCCAATACCGCGTGGATTCGCATGAATCCAGTAGGAACTCCCTCCGGTACCACGTTCATGTGGTACCACCGGACTCCAGTACCACGTGCACGTCGTTCCACCCTCACGTAGCTCCCGCACCACGTGGATACCACAGAAGAGGACGAAACGGAGAAAGGAACAGGACGTCTTTCTCCTCTCCCAACTGTATTCGAGGACAAAGCGAAGACACACGTGGGAATGAACCACCAAAGACATAATTAAGGGCCTCGCTGCACTACTCTTGAAATGCACAAAAGAAAAAAATCATGGCCGTGTATCTTTCCATATTCTAGCGGAAGGTTCACTCTCGTTTTGCACATTTCGAGAGTAGTGCAGCGAGGCCCTAAGAAACAAGCAAAGAAGCACCACAGAGTTCCCGAGGTAGGCGAAAGGGGTGTGCCACATGGAACTGATTAGGGCGAAAGGCAAAAGAGAGGATACGTGGATCAGGTACCACAGCGGAGATCAAGGTGAAAGAGATAGGACAGGAACCTCGTGCATCTGCTTACGCCGAAACGCAGAAAAAAACGCACACGTGGCACGAATCCCTGTCGTACCGGAGCCAAGTGGTCCAACGTGCCCCACCGATTTCAGCTTGCCCCGTCTGCGGTACCACGTGCCTCCGGTACCACGTGGATCTGGTACCACAAAGGGGGTCAAAATGAGAGCGGTGGGACACTTGGATCTGGTACCACATATAGGTCACAGGTGGCTCTGGAGTAAGAGCTGGACATCGTGTAACGAGAATCTGGGACCACAAGTATTGGCTCTCCACCAAGCGATGGTGCACAGATAGCGAAAGCCAAACAGACGTGGGCCAAAGAGCGGGGATGCCACGTGTCACATCTATCACGTGTCATCTGCCACGTGTCTCATCGGGAACGGGTCATTTCTCCACGTGTCACATCTATCACGTATCATCTGCCACGTGTCTCATCGGGAACGGGTCATTTCTCGAGTGTCACATCTATCACGTGTCATCTGCCACGTGTCTCATCGGGAACGGGTAATTTCCTGAGTGTCACATCTGGCACGTGACAACTGCGGTATCATACAAAGTCATAGATCACAAAGTGAGAACATTCAACATTACACATGAAACATACCAAATCTTTCAGAAGCCAAAAAAAAATACGAAAACAAACACAAAAATATAAGCTCAGCTATGTGCAGGGAACACTGTCCGGAGGCAAAGCTCGGGTGCGCAGGCGAATGGACAGGCGATTTGATGCAGTCAAAAGCAGATCAGGTAGCTAGGAAATACAGAGGTCTTTCATACAAATTACGTTCTCAGACTCCCCTCACAGCAGGTAACCCCAAAAACCTGTTACAGTACCGCTGTGATATTGAAAAAAAAAAAAAAAAAAACATGCGTCTGTGCACCTCCAAATTGGTATGTCGCGACTGTCTGGGCAACTCCAAATTGCTATCCCATTAAGGTCCGCGTCCTTCACGAACATCCGTCCACCTGCACGGATCCACACTACACGTTCCTTAACTCCAGGCAGCTCCAAATTGGTCCACGACTTCAGGTCATCGACCCCATCTATTCAACAACCGACCCCCCTAACTTGTTTTTTTTTTTTTTTTGTTTTGTTTTGGGCAAAACAACCCAGGTGAATGCTAGTGATGCTGATAAGAGCAAACACCACTAGCACGCCCGGGGAGGCTCCATCTATTGGTGGGGAGCAGCACCTGCTGGAAATCGGGTCCAGCGTCCCTTGACAGTTACGCAATCATATCAACGGGCCACGTGTCAACCCTACAAAGATCGTGCACCACAAGCCAATCAACACACAGCGCTATATATATTGATGAGCAGCATTGATTGTCCTCTTGCTGAGGGGAATAACTGCACATCAACTTGTTCTTTTATTCAATTATAAACCAGACCATTGGTAATCACCATCCAACGCTGCCCATGTCCGCAATTCGAATACAACATTGCCATCGACCAACTTGCACTCGAACAGAATAGTTGCCCACCAGCTCTGCTGAGAGAGAGACTACACGCAGTGCACAAGCAATGGGCGGCATAGTCGACAGGACAACCTCTCACGGACGAAGCCTTCACCCCAAGATATGGCTCCTCTCTCCTCCATATAGACAATCCTCTCCCTCGAGAGAGACTTATCCGTGCGAGACAACCTCCTCTCCCTCTCCCTAGTATATTACGCTGCTGCACTTTCGACGTTCTTCGAACAAACACATTTTGTGTTTTTCACCCCCTTTGACACAGTATTACACTCTTAAAACTCCCCCCAAACAACAACACCAAAAAAGAGTTGATTGTAACAAATCCACTTCGTAAGACCTCTTTAAAAAAAAAAAAAAAAAAAAAAAAAAAAAAGAAGAAGAAGAAGAAGAAGAAGAAGAGATACTGTTGCCAGCTTCTTGTTCTTGGAACTGATTGCCCATCCACGTCATCAGATGACTATAGACGGCAGAGATTACCTTTGCTAGCCAATTACTTGTTTACTTCTCTTTCTTTTATAAGGCCTCGGAATTTCAATTACTTATACACGGGCCCAGCGCCCAAAGCTACACATCAATCAAGTATCGAATTCCTACCAAATACTGGGCCTCGCTCCACTACATGACTCTCTAAACGTATCTGGACCTCATGACGACCCCGATGCGTAATAAGTGTTTCGCCAGTGCGAATGCATCTGCTCCAGAACGCAGTCCAGATACCTGTGAACTGTGAACTAAAAAGTCATGGCATTTCAGAACCCTCCGTGCTCCGCTGCGGAACTCTGCCCAGGTAAGAATGACGGAGGTAAGATTCTATTCCGCCAAAAAGTGCCAATCCAGCGCTGTATTGCATCTGTATTGCGTCTCGTTTCCAGGTCAGATTCAAACATAAACTTGGTTTCAGGTCAGATTTGAACAGGAGAACTCAGCCCCCTACCCCACGGTTATAAAAGCTATGCTTATCTGCGTTTGACCTCCATTACGACCAAATTCATTGAAAGCCGGAGACTCGATGCCGGCACTGAAGATCTCCCTTACCCATCTCGTTGACCCGTGGCTCGCAGAAGGCAACCCTTCTGCTTCCTTTCTCACTGCCCTCCCTCGCCTGCTCCTGCCCCTCCTCCCATCCCTGTCTCTTATACACATCTAGATGTGTATAAGAGACAGCCTCCTCCCATCCCGACCTTCTCCTTCAGACCCTCCATAGCTGCGCCTGCCTTCTCCTTCAGGCTTTGCATGGCGCCCACGGCTTTCTCCTGCTGCTCCTGCATCGATTCCGCAGCTCGCTGCTTCTGTTCCTCTATAGCCTGTTTGGCTTCCTGCGTCTTGGCGCCAACAGTTCCCTTCGCGTGCTCGTACTTCTCCTGTGCAGACCCCTTCCCTTCCTCGTATCCTTCCCGCCCGGCCTCCTTCATCTGTTCTGCTCCAGCACGTGCCTTCTCTGACGCCATCTCTCTCTCTGTGTGTGTGTGTGTGTGTGTGTGTGTGTGTGTGTGTGTGGAAGACCGGACTGTCGGCAACGTGGCGTAAGGAAAGAGAATATAGTCGCCAAGGAGGGATCAGTTCTCGACACAACGAGCGGCGCGAGGAGTATCAAGTCTTCGTCGAAGAACAGGCGTCTGCAGAGAAATCACGTCACGAAACAAAGAACCAAACGGGAAGGAAGGACGACAGAATACAGATACGACTGTCCGTGTCGCACTACCGAGTAAGACCGATACTCACCCTATTTCAACCACTCGCCACTGTAATCGAACAAGTCAGAACTAAATGTAATGCACCATGCCTTCTCAGAAGCTCTTCCGCTGGACCAAGCTAGCTATCCTTCACAAGGATTGTCCGTCTTTGCTGCTCGCTTACCAATACCTATATTACTGAAAGCGCCTGCCCCAAGTTAGTGAGCGAGTTCAATTTATCTTTGTAATGAATGGCTCTCCGCCGAGGTCCAACGACCAAAGAGAGAGTTGGGACGTGTTTTTCCTAGGGGGAAAAAAAACAGAAACAATAGAAATGCCCCTCCGACTTCCATGTATACGCAGTATGCCCCTCTGACAGTCGACTTGCCCACTTACCCTGTCGCGTCCCTCTGACAACGATGGAAGTTTCCAGAAAACCCCTGATATCATTTGGGCCTAAAATAAGCTCAATATGTCCCTACCGTTTCCGATTCCCCATTTCCAGCATGCCCTGGTAGCTCCCCTCCCATGGCCAGGTGAACGGCTGCGAGTGTCACCAACGGCCATAGGGGCATGCTGGAAAGTTGCACCCCTCTCACAGTGGCCTGCGAGGCCCCAGGGGCACCCACAGGGTAAGCCAGTCGCCAAAGAAGCATAAGGCAAGTAAATGTGTTTTTTTTTTTTTTTTTTTGGGAAGGCAAGTAAATGTAAGTCGGAGGGGCATCTAAAAAAAAAATCCGATTCGACCCGGGGTTGGGGCGCATCGCGGCCGGGCGGTTTTTGCGCTAGTGCGCTCCGCTCCGAGCCGACGCGGGCTGCGGGATTTACCGTGGTAACTCCGCCTGCGAAGTTCCAGCGTCTTCACCTCTTTCCGCTGATCCGCCATCTCTGACGGCAGCCGTAGTCCTGACAACCCATGTATCGTGGGTTCCACCATGTCGGAATGGGATGTACCGAGGGACCCTTAGAAGCCCGCCAGTAGCTGGTCCTGGTAGTTGTAGGTTTCCGCAAGCTGGCTTCCATTGTTTTGGTTAACCTTTCCCCGCTATTACCTGCGGTAAGTTAGGTTTTCATCGTGCTTTCCCGAGCAGTCTCCTTTGGCTTACCTCGGTGGTCTTCAACCCCTGCCCGTTGGAGAGGAGGGGGTAGGGGAGGGAGGAGCTCCCGCCCACCAAACTTCTGGAGGATGGAAGACAGAGTAAGGGAATCCTTAGGGCAGTGCTATGATGAGGGTGTGTTCAACTTGGCCTCAGATCTAGGTAAAGTGATAATTGACGATCGGGGTAAACGGTTCAAGGTTATTGAGTCTCTGGACGAGATCAAAGAGCAGTGGTTGAAGGAAAGGACAGTAATTTCTATTTTTCAGGAGGAAGCTAGAAATCTTACGAGAGGGGTGAAGGAGGACATGGTCAGAGCGTTCGAGGATGGATGGTTTTCTCGAAGGCTATTTTGTCCAGAGACCCGGAGGGGGAGGATCAAATTTGAGGGTCCGAATGTGGTATCTTATGTAGCAAAGTCGGTGGAAGTGGCCAAATGGCTAGTCCAGAAAGGTTCATCTGTACTGAAACTGAAAGAGAAGGAGTATTCAAACCCTAGATGACAAAGCTAGAGTTGAAGGAACTTCCCCTGAAGGAAGCAGAGTCGAATTTTTGGATAATTGCCTTACGAGTTCCTCTGGAAGCAATGTATTATGTGCCTAGTGCGGTAGAAGGCCTCATTGGGGGGGTGAAACATATGCACGCTCCAGAAGCTGATAGGAGCAGACCTAAACTGATGAATATTAAGCTGGATATGGAGCCTCTGGCAAGATTCAGGGTAGAGGATACCCTGACGATCGAATCCCCAAAGGTGGAAGTATGGAAGGTGGAGGTTGCTACCCCCTTCTCAGATTGGTGTAGAAAATGTCGTTCGTATTTTCACATGGAGGATGACTATCCGCGCAACAGGGAGGACTCCCGTCCGAGAAGACAGTGGCCAAGCTCGCAACCACAGCAGAGATCGGAGAGACCTGCGGAAGGTCGTCAGGATGCCGCTCGTTTGGAACAGGTGGCCACGAGGCTCACGCGGCACAGTAGATTCGGCCTCAGCCCGGATCAGGGGTCCCGGAGGGTCCCCCAGGTTCGCATCCCTATCAGCCTCCATACAGGTGAAATCCCCCTCAAACTCAAGCGTCCCATCCCGTTCAGGCGTCGCACGAAAGCCAGAGGGAAGGTTCCATGCAAGCAGGGTTTCCATGAGGTAACTTTCATTCTTTCCCCCATCAATCGCAAGTCCTTACACACCTTCTGAGGTCGATTCAAGGCGGCATCGGTGAAGTGGCAGCTCAGTGGAGACAGGTCAGAGAGTTCGATGCAGCGCAGGTTCAAGGCCAGGTTCTGCCCCAGTCCGGTCAATACGGTGATAGTGGGGCCCACGTACAGGGCAATTTGCTAGTTCCTCCGTGGTCAGACCCTCCCTATTGGCCGGGTAATTATCATCCGGGTTATCTTCATCCTGCTCCCCCGCTCACCCACCTCCCCCAACTGCCCCTTCCTCCCTCAATTCCTCTTTCCCAATCTCATGCGCAGTTCGCGTTCGACCAGGTTCCCACTCGAGTTCCAGAGCCGTGGGATAGCGGCCTATTTCATCCAACGGCAGTAAGACCTCTCGATGCACAGCACGGCTTTGGCCCGTCCGACGAAAGATTGGTGAGTGCGCAGGGGGGTTACGCCCAGTTCCCACTGGAGCGGACGGTCCAGCAGAGCGAACAGAGGTTTAGAGAAGGCAGCAGATCCCAGCGGGGCACACTCCCTCGTTTGTCGGAGGGAATCCAATTTGCTGGTTCAAACCGTCCGCGGGAAAGAAGAGAGCGGAGCAGGGTATTTTCGAGTGCGGTTGGGGATACGAGAAGGCTAGCGGTGGCGCAGGGAGGTGCCGAGTCACTTCTTTCTAACTCATCTAGATCTAAAGTAAGGATGGGAAGCGAGTTGATGGGGGATGAGTTGATGGCGACTGAAAGGAATCTGCTTTACGCTTAGAAATCGGAAGCATCAACGGAGAGTTTCGCAGGGTCACGAAGGAGGACCGATGGAAGATCGGTTCCGGTAACCAGGAGGATACATACCTCTGCAAAATTCGAAGGACAACTTCCGATAGAAAGAAGAATAGTTCCCTTAGTTTGTACCAAGGCCAGGGAGGCAATCTTTTTCTTGGGAAAAGAGAATGCCGATGGGAAACCTTACCTACCATCTGAATTGACTGAGAAGACACCGACTCCACTAGAAGTAGTGGCCCGGACGAAGTGACTTTTTGGGGATTCCTTTCCAATTAGAATTATTCCGCAATCCACAATGGCTAATTGTATTGTCCCAGTACATGATAAAGTTTATAAATTCTATTTTTCGATCATAGATGCTAGAATTGACTCAGTGACAGCAGACGAACTCACAGCAGCGGGCACCAGGTGGTTTAGGCTCGATGTCGTGCAGGAATCTTACAACCAAGAGTTGGAAGATATCTCCCTGACAGTGGAGTTTTCTGCGGCGCTTCTTCTGAGTCTGAACGACAAGCTCCCAAAAGCGGAGAACTTGCACTCCTTCATCACAATGGCTTTGATTGACCCCTTGAGATCGTCCTCTCAGGCTTCCCAGTCCCAGTCTTCTATGCAGAGCTCTAAGCAGCACTCGCCAGCAGAAACTACAGGGAGATGGGCAGATCAAGCCCAAGTTTCATCCCGCATCCAATCCGCGGCGGAGACAGCACCTGTTGATGGTTAAGTTGAGGTTAGCCTCGTGGAACGTGAGAGCTATGGGGAACACTTCAGCGAGGGAAAAGAAGAAAAGAATTAAATCCTGGATTCATGAGGAAGGAGTGGACTGCCTATGCATCCAGGAGACGAAGCTCAATGAGATGAAGATTGCGGAGTTGGTTTCTTGGTGGAACGGCCCTCAGGTGTGGTCGCCAGCTCAGGGGTCGAGGGGGGGCGTCGGAATCCTGCTACACAGGAAGTTCCAGCAGCAGCTGATCGATGCTGAAGCAGATCTGTGTGGCCGGTGGGCATGGATCCGCCTCAGGTTCGCACAACAGGACCTCGTGATAATGGGCGTCTATGCCCCCTCGAACCCGGCGGACAGGACAGTCTTTTTTAGGAACTTGAGGAGACCGATCGCAGATGCAGATCACGTGCTGCTTACCGGGGATTGGAACGTCTCACTAGACGATGCATTCGTGGCAGGTTCTCGTGCGGCGGGCAGGAGCGAGTCCATTGCTCTGATGGAGGTGATGCAGGAGCAAGGCCTGGCAGATCCGTTCAAAACATTAAACCCGGACGACACAGGGTAGACCTCGTTCTCCAACATCCGAAAAAACAGTGGCGCAGTAACCAGGCGGCGGTTCGATTATTTTCTAGCAGGCAAATCCTTGATGCAGAAAGTTACCGCGGTCTGCCACCTGTCCAGTCCGATTTCGGATCATAAACCGGTGCTGCTGGAGCTGCTGTTGGAAGAAGTGGCAGAGAGAGGGAGCGGTTTTTTCAAGTTAAACAACTTGAATCTGGAAGATCAGGGCTTGAAGGGTTGCGTTCGGGACCAGATGGTGGCCTGGCAAACAGCGAGGGATTCCTTTCCTTCCTTAGCTGAGTGGTTGGACGGAGGTCTGGCTATTGTAACAGGCATTTAGACGTCAGTTCCAGAATTTTAGCGAGGGGCAGAAACAAGGAAGAGGAGCAGTGCAGGAGGGATGTGGAGGAGGCGGAGAGGAGGATGAATCAGCACCCGATCTCAAAGTTGTTTCGGGCTCCGGAGAGGGAAAGGAGGCTTGCCAAATGGGACAAATTGCAGTTGGAAAAGCACCAAAGGTGGGAGGAAGCGCTCCGCTTGAAAGGGATCATACTTCAGGACAGATTGACGAAGGAGACTTTTCAGAAGCTTCTTCCCAACTCTTCGTTCCATCAGGTGGTGCAACTCTACCACCCTTTCGACCCCTCAGCGGCACCGACCTCCTCGGCGGCAGGTATGCTGGACTATGCTCGACAATACTTTGCCGATATTCTGTGTACCAGGAGGGTACACGACACCGTCCAGACTGATCTATCCCAAGAAATAGACATGTGGGAGGACACTGAAGTCCAACTGTCAACAACTGAAAGATTATCCCAAGATAGGCCAATATCGGTAGAGGAGGTAAAACACACGCTGAGGGCGA